TTCAAAACGTTTCGACTGCCCTCCTTTTGTTTTGAAGCTGTTGTGAAGCCCTTCATTTCGTTTCAATTTTGCTGTTTCAAGCTTGAAATGAATCGAAACGGCATCGAAATGAAACAGCCAGCAAAATTTTGCACAGCCCTAATGCTGAGTGCACATAAACCAAGTTGAAAATTGCTGAAACTGGTTTGAGATAAACCTGGTTGAATATAGTATCAGACTTAACTGATTTGGGTCAAACCAGTTTATGCAATGTCTGTTCCAGACCCCTTGCTGGTTTGAGATAAAAACCAGACACCCCCAGTATCCCAGCATGCTCTCTGGGCTGGGCAGGGCTCTCTGCTCCATGGCAGAGCTAGCCCCTCCCATCTGCTCCCTGGCTGGAATTCCAGCAGAGACTTACAGGCACAGCAGGATCTTCCTGGCTTCTCCAGTGGTGTACCATGGGTCTTAGGCACCCAGGGGACAATGCTTACATTTGCGCCCCCCCATCCACAGCCGATCACTGACTGGGGTGGCCCCCGGTGGCTGATTGTTGAGCAGGGGGAGGGGGTGCGGGTGTCCCCCAACAGCTGATCACTGTGCAGGGGTTAGGAGTGGTCTCCCAGCAGCGACAAAACCAGAAGTGCCGCCAGGAGACTGAGTACCCCTAGAGGGCCCAGCCGGCACCTCCCCACCACCTGCCCTACCTGCCCCCTTGCTTCTCAAGCAGGACATACCCCCTCCCTCCCAACCCCCACAGCATGAACCCCAGCTCCCTGGACCTTAGGCATGTGGTATGCTAGTTAATGCAGACATGTGCGAGTCTCCAGTTTCAATGGGACAGGCAGACAGAACAGTGACCCCTTAAGGCTTTTTGGAGCTAATTAACAGGTCAGCTGGTAAGGTGTTTAAGAAGAGTTTGAAGTAATGGAGAAAGGCTATTGTTTTGCTGATTGGGTGATAAACACTGTTATCAACCCCCTGCTGGCTTGCTCGCCTGTCAGTTTGCTGCAGAAAGTATAAAGAAGCAGGGAGGGAAATTGAAAAGCTCCATATCATCAACAGATGCATGCATTTCACTCTCCGCTCCCTTTGCCTCAGAGTGCTAGCAGGAGGCTGGGGGCTGGCAACACTCCTGCCCCTTGAGCAGCCAGCAAGGAAAAGCCTGGGATGGTGCAGGCAGACTTTCCTAATCAAAGCATCCTGCCAGGGCCTAGCCACGCCCCCCATCTCAGCATTGTACAAGAGAAGGGAGGGCTGCTCTAGTGCCCCCCCCAGCTTCTTGCCTGAGCCACTGCAGGCATGTGCCTGAATTTCTGGAATGAAAAGGGAATGTCTATCCATCTCCAAATCAGTTCAAGCTTTGCAGGTTAGACTAAACTGCAAAGATTGAATCAAATTCAGGCTCAGGTTTTTTGAATGTTTGTCCCTAGCCCAGGTGTGTGACAAAGGAGTAAAGTGAAAGCAGTGCTCCTCTTGAACTAATGAAGAGAAAACATGCAGCTAACACTGAATTTTCACCTCAGAGCAATGGTAGTGCGTTTCCTTTTGAGGAATCATAGCTGCTCATGGACTGATTGGTTGCCAGAAAACAGCCCAAGAGCTGCTAATATCTGGGCACAACTACAGGCCAGGCCAACTTGTTTTTCTTCAGAATAGGTTAACATCCAAAGGAACAATCTTGTGGTTCTTCCCACCTGCATTTCATATTAGTGGCTCCCTTTCTGATTGCTCTGAAATCAAGCAAGTTGCATGGCCTTTTGGGACCAGAATAAGCCTGAAAACATCCACAGCTTGTCTGCACAACCTTGACTTCCTGACCATATTATACTGTTGGACCTTCCCCACCTAAAAAGCAGCCTCTTTGGCAGACGAATTTATGTTATAGATCTCCACAGCATCCAGAAGAGAGGAGATGAACTTTCACTTTCAGATTACACTCAACTTCTCTTGACCCTTCAAGTTCTGGCCCCAGAAACAGCCAGTTTTCAATTAGCATCTTCCTGAGGCTGTTGATTTTGATAAGATGGTGACATGACAGCCTCTGGGGCGTATGGACCTTATGTATTTAGGTACAGTTTCTGCTCAGTGCCTCTTCCAATTAAATGTGGCAGATGAAGCATTTGCTTCTCATCAAAAAGCGATCTGGCAAGCAAGGGCAACACCCAGGAACAGTTCAAAGGCTTAATCAGTCTTAGCAGCTGGCCTGTATTCCACACAGCACAGAACTGAACTTAAATCTCTTGAACTTATCCTGTTCACAGCAATTCTCTCCTTTCTATTGCTCAATAACCCTACCTTTGTCCCAAGCCAAGGCTCTAACATTCATTAAGTGTCCCTTGCAAAGCTTATTGATCTCAGCATACTTTGACTGAGGCCCTAGGTGTTCAAACACAATAACCATCCCCATAATTCCCCCTGACCAATACAATACAATTGTCCCTATTACACCAGGCCAAACCTGCGTCGTAAATTAACAGACTGAAGAACGTCATACTTAGCTGTGCTCACCCCTCAACCCCACCCCCATAAGAAAACCCTTAGAATTGGATTCCTTTGTGATACAGGATCTTAGTTGGATTTGAAACATCCCACTAAACAAGCATTTCAGTGCATCTGGACCTGACCTGAGTCATAACAGCATTCCACCAAACCTCTACATCAGTGCTTCCCAAACATTTCTTTAGCATGATCCCATTTATGGCCCCATTTCCTCAGCAGGACCCCTCAACTCCCAACCTATAGCCCCCCACTCCCATGACCCTATCCACTGATCTTGCAACCCCATATGGGGTTGTGACCCACAGTTTGGGAACCTCTATTCTACATACTGCACACTTCACGTCAGATGCAATTTGGGCAATGTAAACATTAAGGAGTGATTTTAAGCCCACACTTGACAGAGGTCGATATTTTGAACACTATAATAACAACTCTTAAGTTTTGTCATAAAACTGTACAATTCAGAACAGCAAGCAAAACAGTTAAGTCAGAGATGAATGGCAGCAAAACCAGATGCAACACAGTTAGAACTTCTATATCTACACATGTAGGTTAGAGAAGATCATTTATCAAAGGACCATTCATCTTCATTAGTGGAAAGTGTGCGGGCCGGCTCCCGATCCCATCCTCACCATGTGCGAGCCAGGCCCGTCTTTGTGTATGCGGACTGTGGCCAGCAGCCTGGACACGCGGGGCCAAAGAATACCGCAGGGCGGTAAGGCACGCGCGAGCTAGAATCAGTTACAGAGGCGTAATGGTTGATTGAAAAGATTATTTACTTACACCCAAGGTGGTCGCGGTGTAGGCTGGACAGCTTTCCAGGTGCAGCTCCGCTTGAATCCTCGTTGGAGGACTCTGACAAACTCGGTTCTTTGACCCCGGAGTGGTTTAGGCTCCGCGGGTTCGGCAATTCTTTCCTCACGGAGTGGCTGAATCTCCGTGGGTTCTGTTCGGTTCCCAGGTCCCCCGGAGCTGTTAAGACTCCGTGGGTTCGAAAACTGGGTATATAGGATAGGGATACGTCTAGGTTTGCGCTCGGGGACGGGGAGAGGCTAGAAGTGGACCTCCGTTGCCTGCTTAAGAAAGGTGCGTTGGGTCCGCAAGGGTCCACATCGCTTGGAGATCTTCACACAGCGCGAAGTCTCCTCCTCCTGGCGAGTTCTGTATCTCTCCAGGTTTCCTCTCTCTCCGACTTGGGCGGAAACTACCCAAGCCTTTTGTACGGCTAGCAAGCCAATAGCTAGCCGCCACGTATGCCTACATTTAGAACTGGCCAATAATGTGGCACAAATCTAAATACAAATGGCGGGAACTCCTTTGCACCGTGCATCACCATGATGCAAAAGAAATGCACCATGCAAAGAAGGCTACAAACGGTGGGAAATACTCTTTTGCACACGGGTTCTCCTATTGCAGCAGAAAACTCTACCGTGCAAAAAAGCTGCAATTTGGCGGGAACATAATTTAGTGGTGCCGAAGCACACAAAAACAAAAAACCACAACTTTGGGTTGTGACAGAAAGTAGTGCCGTAGGGGCCAAGAAACTCAGGAGCATGACTTACTCTACAAGATAAATAACTGCTTTGTCCAACTATGAGGGGAAAAGTCAGTAGAGCTCATTTGCTGTATGGGGAAAAGCTGAGCTGTAGATGTGACAGATCTCTGTGTGTTTAACACGGAGAGACCTTTCCCAGGCACAACATATCCTGTCACTATACCTAATATACAGGCTTTCAGGCAAACTTGGGAACATTCAGTTTCCATTACAATCTGGAGATAAACCCACTTCACCAATCAGTTCTCTTGAAGATAAAATATTGATCAAACCCAAAAAGGCATCCACATATGCTACAGTATCAGAGAGGGATAGGCAATCTGAAAACTGTTGGCAGAATGGAGTCTCTTTATATCTGTGAGCTTCTGTATTTCAACTGTGAAACACACTTCCTGTCTCCTACCCTGAATGTTTGTCAATACAGGCCCTGATCCTGCAGGTACTTAAGCACAGGAATAATAGGAACTTATACATGTGCTGGATGCCTGCTCAGACACATGCTAATTAGAATGCTCCAGCAGCCTCCGCATCACGTGTATTTAGCGCCCCCGTGCTTCAAAATGGCAGTTATTTTGAAGTGCGGGACAATGAATACATGAGATGCCGTGGGCCCTTTAATTAAAACAGCTCTCAGAGCTGTTCTAATTAAAGCATTCTCCCCCCCTTCCCCCAGCAACACATGTAAAGATGTCCAATGTTACTTGTGCAAGTAACCCCATTAGCTGCAACAGCACTAATCATGTGAGTAGGATTATACACCTCCTCAAGCATTTGCAGGATAGGGGCAAGGTCTGTCTCTTACTACATTATGATCACTAGCTAGTAAAATGGGGCTATAGTCCCAAATGGGTCTCATTGGCATTACTATAGCATGAATAATAAATAAGTAACACCAAGATGCAAAACACTAGCCAGACACAAACCAATTTCATGAATTGGAAAGTATTAAGTCTTTGGTACTCACCTCTACCCATTTTCCATTGATTTCCATGAATAAGACACAGAACGGGTCAGATTTGGAAGTCACATCTCGGTCCAGAAGGTTTTGGCCACACACAGATAATTCAACTTTGCAAACACAGTACTGGGTCCCAACAGGCCCCGCTGGAGTGGGGCTTACTGTGTACGCCATGGACTCTGATAACAACAACTCCAGACAATCTGCAGGATAAGAGGGAATGGAGGAAAGCATTAGTCATGGCAGAAAGGCAAACAATGCAATGATGGTGGGATAAACTGCACTGAGGCTACAACAGCAAAGCTCCCAAAATGAAGCACCTGATGACATCCAGGGTTCAATCCCCTTGCACTAGCTCTGCCCTGAAACAAAACTGGCTTCTTAGATCTGTTCTGTACCAAGCCTTCTATTTTAACTGAGAGTCTTCTACTCCTGTTCGTAGTGTTCATGGGCCAGCTCTGGGGAACAGGAAGGAGATGCATAATATTAGAATGCACGCTAGTCTAGCAGATTAGATTCCAGCTCTTGGCCCTTACAGTATATACAATGAGAAGATTCAAACTGAAAACAAGAAAAATCTAGCAGTGACAGCGATATGCTGTTCAACCACTACCTACAACAAACAGTGGATTCTCCATCATTTGGAATCTTTTTCATACTTTTGGAGGGTGTGGCAGGGCACTGTTGGTGCCTGTCACTTTAAGGGCTGAGCCAAACAGCCAGCAGGTGCTTGACTACAGCGGCTATTTTAGATCTCTGGCCACCTATATAAACAGAACAGCCTGCTGCTGGCAGGTCAGGCAGAAACATTGCCTGGCTGCATGCAACATCCTGGAGGTATGGGCAGGAGCTCAAGGGGATGGTTTGGAGGCTCCTGGTCCTGGGCATGACCTAAAACTGCACCCTGCTGGGAGTGGGTGGCCTGGTGGGGCTCCCAGTAGTGGGGGAGCCTCCAGGAAGTACCAGGCCAGTTACCATCCCGGTTAAAGGTGGGTCGGGGCACCTTAATAACCCCAGCTCCCACACCTGGGTGGGTTACCCCATAGTAGGGCCAAGAAGGTGAACCCAGGTTAGGGAGTGGGCTGGAGGCTCAGAAGCCTGACTTAAAACACTCTTGACTGGTCTATGTTGGGGCCAGGACCAGAAGGGTCAAAAGGGCCAGGGGCCCAGCGTGAGGGACACCCAGAGCTGAGGGGGTTCTGACTGGCCCTGGAGGTAAGGCTAGGGCCTGTGTGGCCAAAGGTCCTGGGAAGCCCATGCCTGAGAGAGGGAAGAGTTCAGGGAGCTAGGCAGCCCAGAATGAGGGTGGAGTAGGCCGTCTGATTGGAGGGATCCAGTTGGGGTCCAAATTGAAGGATTCTGGGGCCCAGTGTGGGGCCGGTGATGTTAATAACTGTGGATGCCATCTGCAAGGCTTGGGCTGCAGTGCAGGGGAGGAATGGAGCTGCAGATAGGGCTCCCTGGCATCGGGGCAAAAATGGGAAGCCTCCCACCTAATTAACAACATAATTATGTATCATCAAGGCATGGCAGGAGAGGAGGTGGACAGCTGGCCCAGAAACAGATGGGCGGGCCAAAGGCAGACAGGCCTTGAGAGACCCCTTGTTACAAAGGGCTATGTAAAGGAATAGGCTCTAGTCTAGCAACAGTTTCTTTGGCTCAGTGCTTATACAGAGCACTGAGGAATTCCACTGTAGGAATTACCGGATGAAATGGTCTTGTGTCTTATAGGAGACTGGACTACCACAGCTGGCCCAGGAACAGATGGGCGGGCCAAAGGCAGACAGGCCTTGAGAGACCCCTTGTTACAAAGGGCTATGTAAAGGAATAGGCTCTAGTCTAGCAACAGTTTCTTTGGCTCAGTGCTTATACAGAGCACTGAGGAATTCCACTGTAGGAATTACCGGATGAAATGGTCTTGTGTCTTATAGGAGACTGGACTACCTAAATCACATTGTCCTTTGGGGCCTTAAATCTATAGATAATAAAAATATTGTGATATAAGAGTGGAAATTAAATAGCCTGCTCCAAAGCTATATAAACTCTAGAGCAGGGGTAGACAACCCCCTGCACGCATACCAGAGTGTGGCATGCAAAGGCATTTTACTTGGCTTGCATGCCTTGGGGCAGAGGGTGGGGAAGTGGCCAGGGTTGCACTGCCACAAGAATCAGGTCCCTCACAGGTTCTCCACTACCTGTCCGTGACACGCCAATGTCTTACAAGTGGAGGCTGTGGGTGTTTTTGGCACTGTGCAAAAACGTTGCTGACCCCTGTCCTTGGTTGCTCTCACAATTCCTCCATTTGTCTATCAAGGGGCTAAGTACCTGTCTTCCCCACTGATAGCAATTCATAGTGAAAAGTCCCTAGGTCTGGCTCAATATTGTCCCTTTATCTTCATGGTTGGCGATGAGATTGAATGCCATAGGAATTTTCTTTTAAGAGTGTCACAACCAAATTAAGTACTGCCCATGCCACAAGCAAGAAATATATTAATCAAAAACAGTTTTAGTCTGCACTAGGTTAACTAAGAGTTAACTAACAAGAAGATAGTAACAGTTTTTTTACTGCGCATGTCAAAAAGAAATTTATAACTGCAACACCAACATGAAATAGAACTTAGCCTTCTGTGCTGTACATAAATCATTATAATTGGTCAAAGAAAACAAAGAGTAACCCTATGATAACACCCTAGCGAAGACGGCTAGATAATTGGCGATTCTAATTAAATTTATGACGTGGCAAAAAACAATTGGCTATCATACAAACAAAACCCTGCTGCATTTCTGCCAAAGTCGAAGACAACTCTGTCCGCACCTTGGAGTAAATCTGACAATTTGATCAGTTGTCAGCGTCTTCCCACCGCGACCTCCCTGGCGTACCCTTGACCCGCATGCCCGATAAGCCTGAACCCGCTGACCGCCGGCCCGTATATATGTCTGCAGATCGACCGAACGAACTCTAAGCTGTGACTAAGTATATCTGACCTCCGTCTTTCACCACCTTGATGGCGTGAGTAAATAATCTTGCTTTGCAACCGATAAGCGTCCGCCTAAGTAATTCCACTCCATGCGTCACAAGTACCCACCTGACGGACCCTTAACTGCCTGGGTGGGAGTCAGGGAGAGCTGCTGGCCGGCTGCCCTGGGTCCCGACAAAGAGATGCTTAGTTGGGCTGTATTCTGTGATCCTAAGCACCTACCTTCTCCACAAAAGCTGCTGGGATTTTACTTCATGTTCTATATTTGGTTCTTCACAAACCTCCTGAAATTCCTTCTTAGGTCTCAACATATCATTCTCCCCGACTGGCCCCTAGAAGTTGGCTCAATATTTTATTTGCAAAAATACTTTATTGAGAAGGAAGAAGAACAAGTGTCAAGGCCTCACGTATCCATATAAATCCATAGTCCTGATAATGATGTTGTATAACTGAAGCTCTCAGTCATTCTTTGGTGCTAAAAATTCTCTACTAAGTGAAACAACAGGTATTTATCTTCTCTCTCTGCCTTAAATTTCCTCCTCCATCCAGTTGTTGTTAGTCATAAGTGCTCCAAGGTATCTGTACTGCTTAATTTATTGCTATGTATGGTCAATGACTGCTACATAGCATCTGTCATTGACCAACACCAGAAAGGAGAGAGTGTGCCAATAATAAAGCAAAGAAAAAAGGAACAGGGCAATTCCAAGAAGATCCTAATGAACAGAGATAAGGCTGTTGGACTGGGATTATCCAAGTTGTGCTCCAATTCTATGCGGCAGCAAAATGGGTAGTAACCACTTAAAGCGTGTATGTTGAACACTTAATAGCTGAGTCAGAACAGGGTGGTTCAACCACACTCTACAAATGCCCCACATATATCTCACCTCACCACTTAAATCCATTAGACCCATATGCAGAGCATCAGGTCAGGTTCTAATATTTAACACAATAAGTAAATTAGTCATTACCTATATACGCCAACTAAGGAATTTGCTACTAAGACTGCAGACCTCCCACCACCACAGACAAGGAGCTGACACCACAGGCAGAGCAGGCTGAAAAGCTATTAAAGTCGCATGTCACCTCACATGTCTGACAAAGGAATGCTGTTAGGTCAGATTTAGGCCTGAACTGAAGCTGTACAGAAACAAAACTTAAGGCCAACAAAAGACTTCCTGGTGTTTTTAACAATACAACTGAATGCATTTCTCACATAAAACATTTCCCCAAAGCTTTCAGAGTTTTGATATTGCAGAACAGTGCTAATGAACTAAAGCTGGGGACATTATTAGCAGTGTTGAAGCCTCCAGATAGGGGAGAGCGTTCTGCATTAGCTATAACCTTGCAGCGACACCAGCATAACCTACTGCTAGCTTGGACACAGTTATACTGCTGAAAAGGTGCTTTACATCAATAGAATTGTTCTTATATAGGATGAGGGCCTTATTTATGCTGGTACGAGGCACCTACACATCAGTAAACCTGTATTCCCACTCTAACTCTGTCAATGTAATTATTTGGTTAGTGTGACTGGCCCCTGCTCATCTTACCTTGGCACCATAGCCCAGGTGGCCACAATTAAGATAGCTGGCACCACATGGCTAGAGAGCACACCGTTGGTTGGCATGGAGCACAGGGGCCATGTTCATAAAACAGACCCGAAGGCCAAGGCAGAGTGGGGGATACATCCAGACGCAGGAAATGGAGCCAGACACTCTCTTTACTACCAGAAGAGGCCCATTGCTCCCCCTGATGGTCAGTATGCCTGGGGAAGCAGCACGTGTGTGTCCTGTGGCAGAGATGGCCGGGGAAAACCAGGAAGCACTCCTGATGCCCGGCTGGAGGCCCGCTATGTTCCCCGGGGCCAGAAGACCCAGGCAAACCCAGAAGGGCTCCTTCACCCAGAGGACCAGAATGGATGTTGGCTTGCCTGACCCAAGCGACAAGCAGCTGAGCACAGATGCAAGCCCACTCGCCACCACAGACCAAGGAACACACAGGAACCCGCAGGTCAGGTGGGGCTGGGAGAAGGCAGCCCAATGGGCCCTGTGGGCACCAGATGAGGGAGAACCCTGGCAGGGAGTGCCACAGACACTGCACACCCCACTAGTGAGTCTGCAAGCCCAGAGCATGCCAACAGGGGACTGGTGGAGTGGCAGACCCCATACCAGCATGGTGTGGAGTGCTACAGAGCAGTGACACTACTGGCCCAGCAGCCAGATGGGAAGAAGCTATAACAAGAAGCCAGCTCACCAGGAAGACAATGGAGCCCAAAGTCAGGGAGACTGAATGGAGCACAGGGCACCCAATTCCCTATGCTCAGAGTTGAGCTGCTTGGTGTGGGGGCAATGTTGCCCTGCCCACCTCCAAGTCCAAGCTATTTAAGTTAAGTTTTTCTGTTGTGTTGGGATTTTTTGGAAGCTGTAGAACAGCAGCGAGAACACTGCAGCATCCCTTCTCATTGGGCCCTAGCATAGGAGAAGAAGCCCCATTAACACACTAGGGAACTGCCTCGATGCATCGTAAGACCCAAAAGGAAAGGGGTAGGGTGTAGGGGAGGAGTAGCCCCACAGAAGACGTGCCAAGAGAGCCACCCCTGGGCCACTAAAGGAACCACTGAGCACTACCTCCAGAGGTATACCAGTGAACAACATGTCATGGCGTGTGAGTAGGCTCAGGTGCATTGTGGCCCAAGGTGGCAGGGCATGCCCATTGGTCCACACAATGAGTGTGAACCTGTCACAGTTGAATAAATAAAACTCCTACATAATAGTTACACCAGGACAAACACTGCATGCAGAACTAGCCTAAGTGATTTCGAAGCCTAATCCCATTTTGGAAAAAAACAGCTCACACAACTGGAGCATTTGGATGCCCTGCACATTAAAGGCGATGGATGTTCAGAAAGGTGAACACTAATGCTTCAAAAAACCAGCCTCTGTTATGATACTGCACCCAAACATGTCTTACAATTTTAAAAATCATGGCTAAAGTCTCATTGATAGATAATGGGGGTTAGGAACCCAAGGTAGCTTTTCAAGTTGCTCACTCAACCAGCATTTCTGACGTGCTGAAAGACTGGAAAAAATATTTTTGCAAGAAAATATTTCAAAAATAGATTGGGAAGGGAATGACTGAAAATGACAGGAATATTTTAATTAATTTCTTTGGTCAGTTTGATCAAGCTGAAAGAAGTGCTGTAAGTGATTTTAAATGTTCTTTTCATTTTAATATTGTAAAGAATGGTGGTAAATGCAAAGAAGGAATCTCCATTATTTACAAAAAAAAACCCTAATTAAAAAAATAAAAGAGAAATACAAAGGAAATCCTCTGGAAGCTGCTTTTGCCACCTCCTTGTATTCAATGGCAAAGTCTGTTTGGGTTTTTTTATTTAGGAAAACATAGTAGCTTTACAAGTTACAAACAAGCCTACTCATCTTTTCATACCAACAAAAAAAAGAACAGCCTTGGGCCTGGTTTACTCAGTGTCTGTAATGCTATTATTAGCTACTTCTCTCTGTACTGCTATTGTATCAGTTGGTAGTGTGATGTTTACTTATGTGGTCTAACTGCATCCACACAAGTGGTTATAGCTGTATTATAGTGATAGTGGTATGTTATGCTGGTAGAGCCAATTTCCTTTCCCATACAGGAATATGCACTTTTATATCAATGCAAGTGCAACCATATTAAGTGAGCTGCATTGCTATACTAGTCTACGAGGAGCAGTACAACTTCTGAACATGGGGAAGATGCATAAAATTGCTCTGTGTAGCTACAAAACTGGTAAAGCACCAGCATTTCTAAGAAGGTTGATTGAGCCTTCATGCCCATTTGGTCTTTAGCATCTCTTTTGGGACTGGCAACAAAAGCTTTGATTTATGCCCAAAGTAATGCTATTTTTGATGTTGAGACCTGCCTGGAAAAAATAAACAGAGACCTACATCTCATTTTATATATGCCAACAAACATCTGAGTACATAATCGTGGGTCAACCCTGAGCCAGGCTGGACTTGAACTAACTTCCTAGAGATAGGAAATTCCAGAGGCAATGACTCTGATCCCTATGTCTTATGTCCTCCATGTTGTGACAGATGACACCGGTCATTTCAGGGATTTCCTCACGATTAAAGGGGGTTATTTTAAGGCCTTTAAAAAGGCAGTTCTAAAAGTCTGAAAGAGCCCAAGCCCCTTCCTTTATATGCCTTACCCTACCCTGAAGTTTAAGCATTTGTCTACCCTTTGTCCTGGTACAAAAGTGTCTTTTTTATCTAGACAAGCAGCCCCTCATTTTCATCCTTCTTTCAATGACTGAGTGGTAGAAAATATACCAAGGAGAGACCTGCATCAGCAAACAACAAGCACTGCAGCTGCTAAACTGGGGAACAGAGCATTGATATACCCAATTCACACTGCTCATGTAACCCAGCATCTCATTCCAAGACATGCTTCAAATCATATCCTACTGCAAAAGCAGATGATTCTGGTCTCAGGTGTGTTTATTCAGTGGTTCATGAGCAATAAACATTCCACTGGCCACAAAACTGGTGCCCAATTTTCTAGGCTGACCTGCCATTAAGAAGGTTTGAGGTGTCTGGGGATCATATCAGTAACCCCAGCACTATTCCTCCATTATAAACATCAACAGCCCCTCCTGATCACTACTCAGGTGACCATGCACAAAGAAAAGCAATGAGATAACTTTATCTGCAGAAGAGTACACACTCTGGAGAAAAAATGTTTCTAGGCTGCAGGGGAAAGCCCTCTGCTCTAGCCCACTTACCTGCCTGGAAGAGGCCTGTTGTCTGAGGCAACTGAAAGCAAACTCAGGCTGGTGTTTCAGAAGGATGAAATGCAGCTGAAGCCAACATTGTGATTTATAAATAGAAATGGGTGGGACATGCGGCTTGTCACCTCCTTACACTCAGTTGTAAACCAGTGCCCCACTCCACTCTGAGATGACAGCATCCTACACTTGCTTTGTATCAACCTGAACATCAACTCAATTCACAAGGGAGGAGACAACCAGGAATTTTTCCTGACAGAAACCCCTGACTACAAAACCCCTATATACATAGTGTATTTCCCTATAGGGAGTGATTCTCAAACCATTCAACCATCTTCCTCACTCAGGAATATTCAGAGCTGATAAATGCCACACTTGATGATAACAGATAATTCAACTGGGAAGAGCCTGTTAAATGCCAAAGTGCAAATTAACCCAGGTACTCAGATGTTACATTTAGGACCAAAAAGTTCCCAACCCTTTATTTCAGTGCCACATTCCTGCCTAAATTACAAATTAAAGTTCCCAACAATTTTCCAGCAAACATCTCCACAGTAGAAATGAGACTTAAAGCAAACATTCCCCATGATCCTGTGGAAGGAGCAAGATCTTCTGCTTGACTGTTTCAGCAGATCCAATGGAAACAGCCCTGTAATTCAGACACTGCTGCTGGGAAATGAGTTTGTATGGATGTGGCATAGTGACACTCACCATTCTCTTGGAGATGGAGAAGGATCGCTAGAGTGCCATCAAACAGTGGGTCCAGAGCAGAAGGAGAATGGAAGCAATTTGTGCTGCCCCACAGCAAGCCTGACAGCTATCTTGTGTCCTGGATTAGCCCTATTTTCTGAGTCTGACCCTACAAACAGTTCTTGTAGTACATTCCTAGATGCCCCCAGTAGATTTCATGCTGCATGAAGCACCATCATGGTGCAGTGAGTCACAACATGATAGCATTTTGGTTGGGAGACAAACCTGAACCATGAACCCACGATCTGGATCCAAAATCTCCAACGGAGTGTTCACGGATGAACTTGTGTCTCGTAAAGCAGAAGACATCTGGCCTTGAAGGACTGACTCAAATCCTAAACTTCCCCCCCGGTTTGGGAATACTCAGCCCAAGCATTTTGATTCTGTCCAGTCTCTACCACGAGGTGGTGTTGCATAGGTGGCAGAAAGGCAGCTTTGGTCAACAGTAGTTCTTAACGCTTAACGAACAGCACTGACAGGTTCAGGGAAGGACAAAGGAGACAAGGTAGGCAGGAAACATGACTTGGGCAAGGACATGAGCTACAGTGCTTTGATGAAGATGCACATGATTAGAAACTGTTTTTTGTGGAAAGATGATTGGCTCCACAAAGACTGTAGGAAGCATCCATTTCCCACCTCCCATTTCAACTGTTCTGCCAAAACCCCCAAATTTATGGGGTTACTGATAAAAAGCCAAATTTTTCTATAGGGGAAAAGAAAAGAAAAAGAAGAAAGAATCCCTTGGGCCTGGCAGAAAAGGGAAGATGATGATAATTAAGGCAGACATTAAAAACCTGCACCCCTTGGAAATGCCCATTTGTTGAGTGCCTCATAGCTTAACACCTCCAGTGTAACACCTCAAGCACCTTAACACTCTGGTCTGGTAAACTTCCTGCTTCTGTATGTCAGGGCATTAAACCCTGATTTTCATTCTCTTTTATTTCCATCACAATGGCATGAGCATTGACTGCACACTCTCTCCAGCTGTGTTCCTATCCTACAACAGTTTCTGGATACCCCTAGCTCCTTTCATTTCATTTTCATGCCAAAGAACAGGACAATCCTGACTGCTTGTTTCTAGCAGGGGGGAGGGAGGAGTCACTTCAACTGTTAAAAGGTCACAAAAGGTTAAATAAGAATCTACTGCCAATGTCTAAACCAGCCCAGTAACATGCCTGGTTCAGAAGCAGCAGTGTGGCTCAGTGAACAAGCGACAGGACTGAAAGTCAAACCATCTATGTGCTGCTCCAGGCTCTGGAGAACATTGATATTTCCTGTACCTCGGAAGCTCTCTCTCTCGCAGAACGCTGACATCGACGAAGAAATCTAACATCGCCTCAAATGTGCAAGTGCAGTCTTTGAATGCTGCCTGCAGAAGATCCTCCGAATCCAGAAGAAAGACAGACACACCAATGTTAGCATCTTCCTGCAAGCAAACACCACAAGTATTGAGGCAATAATTATCCAGTCAACCTAGCTGGGCCAGCCATGTCATCCAGATGTCTGACTTCAGACTCCCAAAACAAGTTTTATTCTCCCAGCTCAGCCAAGGTGTACACTCAAGAAGAAGTCAGAGAAAGCACTTCAGGGACATCCTCAAGGTCAACTTAAAAAAAAAAAAATGCAGTACCTAGATATGTCAACTCATAGGAAACTATTGCCCAGGACTGCCTCAAATGGAGGAAGAGTCTGCTGTAGGGATCTCAGTACTTTAAAACTTCATGAGAACAACATGAGATTGAAAAGTAGGAGCAGCAGAAACAGTGTGTCATAGACCAAATCAAGAATCCAGCACCACCTGCCCCACACAGAAACACATGTCCAAGCAGCAGTAGAGTCTGTTCATTTGGGATAGGACGTATCAGCCATCTTTGGACACACAGATAAGGTAATCATGGAAGACAATTGTCCTTCAACTGCGAGGGATTGCTGAGGAAAGTTCTCTAGGCAGTCACAGATCAGCACTTGCTGCAATTTCCAAGGAACTACCTCACTTTATGCAACTGAAAGACAAAGGATACATCCACCCTTTATAAGGTACTTTGAGCTCTGTGAATAAAAAGGTACTAGATAAGAGCTCAATACCGTCATTAATTACTCTTCTACCACCTTGTACCTGGGAGAACTCCCCAGTGACACACAACAGTGTATGTAGGCTGGAAAGACATATCGTGGCTTTTATATATGTGAGTATACAACTAACCATTCAAAATTAGCACGTGCATCAGCTGTTCCATTGCCTACAACTCCACTCTGAGTGGAGTAACTCCACTCTGAGTGTCCCAAGGAAAGCCTGTCCCTAAGCACAGTGTAGGTCAGTGTTTCCCAACCAGTGTGCCAAGGCACAATGGTGTGCCGTCAAAAATTAACAGGTATGCCATGGAATTTTGCCGCTACAATGAGCTCATAAGTATGGGGATGGGGAATGCCTTAACAGTTGTGCCACAGAAAATTTTTATGAATATAAGTGTGCCTTGGGCTGGAAAAGGTTGGGAAACACTGGTGTAGCTGATCCCTGTGTACTATAAGCTCACATAGCTCCAATGGATTCCATGGAGGTGGGGCAGCTTGCACCAGCTGTGAAAATGGCTAGCAGTTCCCAAGAGGTAGCACCATGAGAACCAAAGACACTAAAACAGTGGTTCCCAACCTTTTAAAACTGAGGACCGGCAAACCGCAGACTGGAAGCGACTGCATACTGGAAACGACTGCAGACCAGCATACTGCAGTCTGGAAGTGACTGGCATACTGTGGACTGGCAGCCAATACTTTATACCATACTTTATACTGAGTATAAAAAAGGGTTGGCTGCTGGTCTGCAGTATGCTGGTCACTTCTAGTCCAACAGCCAACCCTCCTGCGGACCGGCAGTCAACCTTCACGGCCCAGTACCAGGCCACAACCCAGGGGTTAGAAACCTCTGCACTAAAACATAGGAAATAATACCCTGAATGAAGTGTTTGCTTTGTGGTACGTGAAAGATGCCCCACCAAATCCAGGCCTCTACACAATGCATGCGTCTGCTCTTAGAGCCACAGGGCCTTGAGTATGGATATTTGCTCAGTACTTTAAAAACAAGCTCTATAGCTTTGTGGTCCCAGATTTCTGCTTAATCTTCAAAGTCACTCTGAATCATGGGCCTAACTTTAATTCCTCCCAGTAAATATAAATACTTTGTGTTATCATTAACTTTATTTAACTGATAGGGACAGGCAAGCAAAGGCTAATTTTTCACCTCCAGCACAGTCAAGGGAAGATCCCAAGTACATCCAAGGAAGCCATGTGAGTGATGTATCGTATTGCTTCCCCTACGCACACAAGCAAAAAGCTTACAAAACTTCTGACATCATCCCTCTTTCTACACTTGATTCTGATCAGATAACTACTCTCATGAGTTCAATGCAATCATTCCTGATTTACAATGATGTGGAAGCAGAATCTTTGATTAAATAAATCACTACAAAGATAACCACCCAGTTTTAACACTGTTTGAGCACATGGGAGACCTCAGATAGAGATATATTTAATTTGATAAAAGAAAAATAAATCTTCTAATTCCATCCCTCCTAGAAGCACAGTCTGCCCCAAGAAAAGGTATTTGCAAATGTTGTGCCTCTTCACTTCCCTGAAGCCTTTGTTTCCAGTTACAATTAAATCATAAACAGATCATGCAATCAAAGCCTTACAATAGCCACCCTGTTCTATTTATACAGCATTGTCGATCTGCCTCTTCCTCCAGAAAGGAAATGCAGGGCAGCTGTGCTGGCAAAAGTCTGATCCTAGAGGAGTAGAAAGAGATAAGGTTTTCCCTCCTATTTCTTCTTCTTACAAGCCTCTGTAATTGCTCGTAAAAGCAGAGGCAATAAGTGACTCAGTGGAAAAGGTTTTTCCAGTGCACAATGGCACAGAATCATAGAAAATTAGGGTTGGAAGGGACCTCAGGAGGTCATCTAACCCAATCCTTTGCTCAACAGGGCCACCCACAATTAGATCATTCCAGCCAGGACTTTTTCAAGATGGGCCTTAAAAACTAACTTCAAGGAGAGTCTACCACCTCTCTAGGAAACCTGTTCCAGTGCTTCACTCCCTTCCTAGCAAGAAAGTTTTTCTAATATCCAACCTAAACTTGCCTTGCTGCAATTTGAGCCTATTGCTCCTTGTTCTGTCATCTGCCACCACTGAGTACAGTTTAGCTCAGGGGTGGGCAAAATAAGGCCTGCAGGTCAGGTCCAGTCTATCTGGCCCACGAGGCCCCTAAAAAATTTAGAAAATATTTATCTGCTCCTGGCTACCTATCAAAGATGACAGGAGCCAGGGGCAGTAAGGTCCAGGGGGGAGCCTCAGCAGAAATCATAGAATAGAAGGATCGGAAGGGACCTGTAAGATCGAGTCCAGTCCCCTGCCACGAGCAGGAGGTGATTGGGCTGCAACAAGCTCAACAAGGTGCCTGTCCAGCCTCCTCCTGAACACCTTCAGGGATGGCAACTGCACCACCTCTGCTGGGAGTGTGTTCCAGATTCTAGATACCCTTACAGAAAACAAGTTTTTCCTAATGTCTAGCCTAATTTTTTCCTCAACTAGCTTGTGTCCACCGGACCTTGTCCTCCCAAGGAGTGCCTTTCTGAAGAGTTGCTCCCCTAGATCTTGATGGCTGCTATCAGGTTACCGCTCAGTCTTCCGGGCAGGAATCAGCCCAGCCCCGCCCTCCCCTAGCCATTTCCCTGACTTCCTGCCCGCGCACTGCTCCAGCACCACATGGCTGTGTCCACTGGACCTTGTCCTCCCAAGGAGTGCCTTTCTGAAGAGTTGCTCCCCTAGATCTTGAGGGCTGCTATCAGGTTACCGCTCAGTCTTCTCTTACTCAGGCTGTGTGTGTGTGTGTGTGTGTGTGTGCGCGCGCGCGTGCGCACGCACACGCCTTACGTGCAGACCCCAAACCTACACCCTCTCACACGCCCCAGCCACCAAACACAACCCCCCACAAACCTCATAGCCACCCATACCCCACATTTCTACACATACCCACATGCACCCTCACCCCACACCCATGCCCCCTACACCTGTCCACCCCTCACAGACACCCACACCCTCCAGGGGCAGGGGTACCCATGAGGCCCTTAACAGCTTGCCAAAACTGGGTAAGCGGCCCTCCGCCTGAAATAACTCCCCACCCTTGGTCTAGCTCTTTGGAACCACTCTTCAGGTAAGTAAAGGCTGCTATCAAATCCCCTCTCGGTCTTCTCTTCTCTAGACTAAATAAGCCCAGTTCCCGCAGCCTCTCTTCAGAAGCCATATGCCCAAGCCCCCAAACCATTTTCATTGCCCTCCATTGGACTCTCTCCAACTTGTCCACATCGCTGCTGTAGTGGGAGGCCCAAAACTGGACACAGTACTCCAGGTGTGGCCTCACCAGAGCAGAATAGAGCAAAGTAATTACTTCCTTTGATCTGCTGGCAATGCTCCTACTAATGAAACCGAGTATGTTGTTAGCCTTCTTGGCAACAAGGGCACACTGTTGACTCATATTCAGCTTCTTGTCCACTGTAACCCACAGGTCCTGATCTGCAGAGCTGCTGCTGAGCCAATTGATCCCAAGCCTTAAGTGGTACATGGGATTCTTCCGTCCTAAGTGTGGGACTTTGCACTTGTCCTTGTTGAACCTCATGAGATTTCTTTTGTCCCAATCCTCCAATTTGTCTCAGACACTCCGACTCCTAGCCCTACACTCCAGTATATCTACTACTGTCCCCAGCTTGGTTTCATCTATGAACTTGCTGAGGGTGCGCTCCATCCCATCTTCCAGATTGTTAATGAAGATACTGAACAAAAGTGGCCAACCACTGGGGCACTCCACTTGAAACCAGCTGCCAACCAGACATCAAGCCATTGACTACTACCCATTGAACCCAAGAATCCAGCCAGCTTTCTATCCACCTTCCACTGCTTTCATCCAACCCATACTTCCTTAACTTGCCTACAAGAATGCTGTGGGAGACCATATCAAAAGCCTTGCTAAAGTCAAGGTATATCATGTCCACTGCTTTCTCTGCATCCTCAGAACCAGTCATCTCATCACAGAAAGCAACCAGGTTGATCAGGCATGATTTGCTCTTTGTGAATCCATGCCGACTGCTCCTGATAACTTTCTTCTCCTCCAAGTGCTTCAAAATGGATTCCTTGAAGACCTGCTCCATGATTTTTCTGAGGACTGAGGTAATACTATCAAGGGCGTACTGTCCTTCAGGTGCTTCTGCTCATGTTCACACCCTGTTATCAGAAGTCCTTGGCATTCCATTAGCAACATTATTAGTTGTAAGGGAATTATGTTATCACCTAGAGGACCCAGTATTATTGAGGTCCTACTGCATATTGTACAGACTCAGACCACTCCCTACTCTGCAGAGTTTGTAATCTAAAGGAGCAGGA